CTCCACACAAATGTTAACCTTCTGCTTGTTGAAATGCTACTTCTCCCCACTTAAGAAAGGTTGCTAAGAGCAAATAATCCCTTCTCCATGCTGAAATTATCTTTCTATATACAAATAAACAACCGAGCACTCTCTGACTGTAGTTTAGCGATAACGGTTACCAGTTAAGAAATAAAAGATGTATAAATGACCTGCTATAATGGTCAATGGCGAAAATTGCCTTAACATATGTCGAGGCGATTATAGATTTTGCGACGAATGTGGATAGCAGCTTGTGCAGCTTGTATGTTTGTACAAATCGTAATGATTTTAATCATTTGGATCTTACTATTTAATGTTTATGTTTCAACTAAATGATAGATGTCTTTATTAGTCTTATACATATATATAAAACAAATTTCACATTATTGTATTGTCTATGTACAATTTATGGTTACTATCTCTTTATTTTGTTGAAAGTTTTGAATTGCATCAAATTTAAATAGTATGTATTTCTTAATTTTGCAGCTGCAAAACAACCTGTTGTAGATCAGATAAGGGAAGCCATTACGTTTTACTTCAACTTTGGCTATACCTATGATGTTATACTTGACTTCTTGACGAAACATTATGGAGTATCTATGGGTATTAGAACACTCAATAAGCGACTAAGAGAGTATAATCTGAAGCGAAAGAATGTGTCTGTTGATGAAGCATATGTAAAACAACTGGTTATAATAGAGATGGCAAATGCAGGAGAACAGTCAGGATACAGGACCATTTGGCATGCTTTGAGGATAATATATATATAATGTACATGCACCTGCGAGAAAATGGTTTTGGTAGAATTTTGTATGAATCATTCTGAAGCAAGTGAAGCAAGAAAAGCAAAAAGTTGAAAAAGGTTATGACAAGCTTAAGCCCTTTTGGCTTCCCTATGGTGCATGTTATGGATACAGTCGGAAAGTACTATGGTTAGAAGTTGTGAAATCCAACAATTCGCCAGCTGCTCCTGTATAGTTGAATCTTGAGTTTGTAAAGCAGTTAAAAGGTAGCCCAGCTTTCCGCAGAACAGATTGTGGAACTGAAAGTACAACAATGGCAGCAATGCAGTGTTTTTTAGAGCTAATGGCGATGATGAATATTGTGCAGAAAAAAGCACATCAGTATGGTACATCTACCGGAAATTAACGAATTGAAAACTGGTGGTCTCATTTGCGAAAGATCAGAACCCATTGGTGGATAAATTTCTTTAAAGATATGTGTAACTCTGGTGTGCTAAATATGAGCATTCACCTTGAAAGGGAATGCCTTTGGTTTTGTTTTCATGCTGTAGTGAATGATGACCTTCAGAAAGTTAAAGCCAGCTGTAACTCACATCTTATCCACCCATCAAGGCATGATAGTTTTTCTGGACAGCCAGTGTTAACGAGTGATAACTTTCCCGCGTAAAGTTTACTAACAGGTCGTTGATTGGGTGATGATGTAATTTAATTATGTTAATTATTTAGAGGTGATATAAGCACATTGGCGTTGGTGATTTATAGATAGAAGCACATATATTTTACTTTTGTATTTTGTTCATTAAACGTTTCAACATATATCGCTTTCGTTTGGTCGGTGGGTGAATGTTTAACTGGTTATGAGCCCAGGACGTATGATTGAATAAAACGTGTGTTTGTCCTGTTGACGAATATTTAAACCAAATACATCGAGATGGAAATGGCGACCGAGATAACGAGGATTGATAAACTGAATGGCAGTAACTATCAATCATGGAAATACAATGTAAAACTGGTGCTTATGGAACGTGGTTTATGGGGATTTACGCAAGAGGGAAAAGAGATACCTCCAAACGAAGACGCGACAAATGTCGTTAAAAACGCATTCCAATTACGGTCTGATAAAGCTTACTCTTTAATAGCTCTGAACATCGAGAAGCATCTACAAATTCACATATCAAGTACGACGGATCCTTTGATAGCCTGGGACAACCTTGAATTTTGTTTTGTCCATAAAAAAAGTCGTTCGTCTCAACCAAAAGTTTTATGCCGCATCAATGGAAGAAGATGGTGATTTGATGAAACATTTAACCAATATGACAGCACTAGCTGAGCAGTTGCGAGAGATGCAAGAAGATATTTTCAGTAAGAAATTCACTACCGTTGTCTTGGGAAGTTTGCCAGAGTCATATGATAACTTTCTAAGAAGCTTGAACGCGAGGAAAGCTGATGAATTGAATGGGATAGTATCAAGGCTCTGTTTGTTGAAGAATATTTGAAAAGGAAAGATAAGAAGCAGCAAAACACGAGCAACAATGCGCTATTTGTTAAGAGAGGATCACATAATGGAATAGGAAGATTTCACAATGATAAAAAGGGGAAATATATTCTGTTTCAAGTGCAACAAACCTGGCTTATTGCCAAGAATTGTCCACTAAATAAAGGTACCAGTAACAACAGAGAGGAACATTCGAAAATGGCTGAAGGAGGAGGAGTTACATTAATTTCTAGTGCGGGAAGCTCCACTGAATGGTATGTTGATTCAGCTGCCACAAAACACATGACTAACTGTAAGGACTCCTTCATTAACTATACAAACTTTGAAACCCCAACAAGTATTTACCTTGGTGATGATACATGCATAAAAGCATCGGGTCAAGAGATGGTGAAGTTGTTCCCGAAAGGTGATAATACATATTATTTGGAATTACATAAAGTTCTGTATGTGCCAAAGTTGGCTAAGAATTTATTGTCTGTACCAGCGATGACTTTGAGGGGGCTCAAATGTCTTTTGACAAAGAAAAGTGTATTGTCTCTAAAGATGGAAAAGAATTTGAGATTGGAAACTGGCTAAGGGAATGTTGTATACTGTTGAAAATATTAAATATGCCAACTCTACAAGCGAATCATCATATAAATGGCATAAAGGTTTGGTCATTTGAACAGTCATTATATCAGTAAACTAGTGAAGGATTATATGGTCAATGGGATGAAATGTGATGTAACTAAAGAAGCTCAGAAAGAATGTAAAGGTTGCTCAATGGGAAAATGCACAAGTTATCATTTCCTAAAACAAATAAGCACAGAGCAAAAGATATCTATGAAATTGTACACAGTGACCTATGTGGACCAATGCAGATGAACATTCACAGATGACTACTCTCGGTATACTGTGGCATACTTCATCAAAAGCAAAGATGAAGCACTGACAAAATTCAAAGAATTTGTGTCCCATGCTGAAAATCAAAAGGGTCGTAAGTTAAAAATTTTGAGAAGTGATAACGGGGGTGAATATAGGTCGAAGGAGTTCACCAAGTTTTGCGCTGACAAAGGTATAATACAGCAATTTACATGTCCTTATACACCTGAGCAGAATGGCCGAGCGCGTTAATCGTACACTAATAGAATCAGCTCGATCAACGATATATCACGCAAATCTACCATTACACTTTTGGGCTGAGGCATGTAGTACTGCTGTGTACATCAACAATCGAAGTCCCACAATGAAGTTGAAGGATAAAACACCTTTCGAGTGTTTGTTTGTCGAAAAAGCAGACGTTTCCAACCTTAGAGTGTTCGGATGCATTTGTCACGTTTTCATTGCTGACAGCAAGAGAAGAAAGTTTGACCCAAAGTCCTATGAGGCTATTTTCGTAGGCTACCCCTCAAACACGAAGGGTTACAAGGTGTATGATCCAAAACAAAAGAAATTTGTAGTTATTCGCGATGTAAAGTTTTCAGAGAAGAGATTCTTTTGTTTTGAGCGATCAGGGGACGAGAATGAAAGAATGACTAACGACACGGAGAATGATCTACACGTGGTTCTTATTCAACCCCAGTAGGACACAATCACCGATACAAATAATCCAGTTGAACGTATCGAGCAGCCAGACGAGCCAGTGGGCGAACCAGAAATTCCATCAGCGCCAAGAACATATGAAGAGTTATTCGTGGAAAATGTACCCAATTTGGGACCCGTCAGACAGCGTAAGGTTCCTGTTTGGTATACATATGACGCATATGCGATGTTAGCATCGATGACGTCTGAAGTTGATGAGCCAGAGAGCATTCGAGAAGCATTACATGGGAAGCATTCCCAACATTGGAAAGAAGCAATGATTTCTAAAATTCTTCTCTTCAAGGCAACCAAACATGGAAATTGGTACCCCCAACTGGAAGCGAAAATGTGGTCGGCTCTCGGTGGATTTTCAAAGTAAAACGTAATAAAAACGGAGCAATTGACCGCTTCAAAGCGAGAGTAGTAGCGCAAGTCTATTTCGCAAAATAAAGGAACAGATTACGATGAAGTATTTCACCCGTAGCCCGGCATACATCATTACGAACATTATTGGCGTTAGCAAACGCCATGATCTTGAAGTCCACCAAATGGACGTCAAAACCGCATTCCTCAACGGAGAGATCGATAATGATATTTATATGACACAACCCGAAGGATTCATTGATCCAGAAAGACCTAACCATTTGTGCAAATTGAATAGAAGCATTTACGGCTTGAAGCAGTCGGCCCGCTGCTGGAACGAAACACTGGATAAGTTTTTAAAGTCACGAAATACCGACGATCCAACGCAGATGGATGCATCTACATCAAATCAAAGAAGCAGAACGAACTCATTAAGTTTGTGATAATTGGTGTCTACGTAGATGACATTCCTATCTCGAACGACATCACCATGTTAAAGCAAGAAAAAGCAATCAGCAAAAGATTCAAGATGGAAGATAAAGGCAATGCACATTTTCTACTGGGGATGTTGATCCGAGAAGCTAAGGTTATCACAATTAGCCAGCACAACTACATCGAGAAGATTTTAGATAAATTCGGGATGCAGGATTGTAAACCTATAAGTACACCCCTCGAACCTTCAAAGAAGTTTTTTGAATGCTCGGAAGATGAAGAAAAGTTTGACACGCAAACTTATCAACAGGCAATCCGATATCTCACATATCTTTCAGTAATTTCACGACCAGATATATCAGTTGCAGGGAGTCTTATCATAGTTCATGGCAAAGCCAAGTAAAGAGCACTGGAGTGGTGTGAAGCGTATATTACGATACCTAAAGGGAACAACAGATCACGGATTAAAGTTTTCGGCCGAAGGAAACCCTGACCTTTTAGGATTTTCTGATGCAGATTGGGCTGGAGACATTAATACAGGCAAATCAACATCAGGTTACATTTTTCAAATTGGTAATTGCACAGTCAGCTGGTCAAGCCGAAAACAAAGAACGGTTGCAAAGAGGACAACTGAAGAAGAATATGTAGCATTAAGTTACACCACGCAGGAAGCAATTTGGATTCAAAGATTACTTATGGACATTACATTTGGAATGGAAGGACCAATTACAATCTTTGAGGATAATCAAGGAGCGATTGAACTTGCAAAGAATGCTAAGTACCACAACCGTACTAATATTGACATTTGTCATCATTTTGTCCGGGAACGAGTTCAGTCGAAAGAAGTCAATTTTGTTCACTGCTCAACTGATCAAAGGAAAGCCGATATTCTAACGAAAGGATTACCAAAATTTAACTTTGAGAAATTGAGATCTTTGATAGGAGTCACCACAACATGAACAGTATACTTTAACGATTTATAACTTTTCATTATTTTATTTCGGTTAAGAGTTATCAAGTAGGAGTGTTAACGAGTGATAACTTTCCCGCGTAAAGTTTACCAACAGGTCGTTGATTGTGTGATGAGGTAATTTAATTATGTTAATTGTTTGGAGGTGATATAAGCACATTGGCATTGTTGATATATAGATGTAGAAGCACATATATTTTACTTTTGCATTTTGTTTAATAAGCGTTTCTGCATATATCGATTTTGTTTGCTCGGTGGGTGAATGTTGAATAGCCAGATGTACTATTTTATTTGCCAGAATGTTCTGGAGGTATAAACAATTTGCACAGAGTGTCAGAAGCTCAAATTGCTGAGATCGAACTGAAAGTTGATGATGAAAATCAGAACTATGAAGAAGATTATCAACAATATTTTCATCATTTAATGGAAAGTGAAGCACTCAAAATCTCACAAGCCCAGAAGAGGCTTTCAATTTATTTCAAAAGCTAATGGATGTAGCCTCTTAATAATGTATCATTGCACAACAAAAATAACATAAATGTAGAACATCTTATTTTTGTCAATGTACGTATAATAGGTTTTGTAATAGCTGAACTGTTCTAATGTACCACTTCTAAATTCTTAGAAATCCAGAACACTCAATCATTGCTGAACTCATCTCACAATTAAATTCCAGTTGCTGGTAGTGTACAGGTAAAGTTAAGCTAAGGTCACACGTTGAAGCAACAGGTCTATATTTACACCCATCTTGGCAGCCATGCTTGAATTTAACAGTGATTTTGTTGGGAAAACCTAAAGGAGGTACACTCCTTGATCCGGTTATGAATTGCAGTAGTGCAAGTAATGAAAATTGATCCTCACCTGTAACAAAAGATAACACCAGTTCATGAAATCACAGAAAATGCTAAGCATTAATTTGCTTGTACTTGAAGTATTTTAGACAGTGATTGACAACATTTCCTGCCTCTTTACTTTTTTCCTCCACATATTCATGAAAATATTTAAAGATGTTAATTTCCTGCTGTTTGTAATTGGAACCATTCTCACTGAATTCTCCTTTGATGTCTTCAAGAAATTTTTCTGTTGTCAATGAGAAACAATAACTCTGCACAAAGACAGGTTCTAAAAAGTCTGGGAATTCTTTTATTAAGTCATATGTACCAAAGCAGCAAAGGCCATCGATAATTTGGTTTAACATAGGCATCAACTTACTGAACTCAAACACAACAATAGATCTAAAATTAACAGCAACACTACCAGAAAATATACATATATCAGACAAGGAGCATTGTCCATTGATAACAACAACATTGGAACAATTGTTACCAGCAGTCATTCTATATATTTTACTTAGTAACACATCTTGAATGTACATGTGTTGCTAGAACTATTCAGATAGCTAATAAACAAAACACCTTATAATAGAATCTCTGGAAGATAATTTCTCTCGGGTTAGTACCCCTCTGTTAACAATCTTGCCCAAAATTTCAAAAGCATTATCGGTCATCAATGCTGACTGGAATGAATCGCCATCATCAATACTTTTTAACTGTACTAATTCAAAAACATACATGTTTCGAAAATAAAAATGTACATAGGTATAACTGTTAAGGACTCAAATGGATACAGATATCGTATACCTTTTCAATGACATCTTTCAGATGCAGATCTTCCACAACATCGTCTGCAATGTCAGCCGTCACATTGTCAATGCCTTTTGAAATGGTTTTCGGATTTCTGCTACACACGTTATTTAAAACTTACTATTAGATAGTTTCTTTCCACAGCTCAGACAAAACTTCGACTTATCTTCAACATGTTCGCCACATTGTATACACAACTTCATGGTTTCATTCGCTTGTTGCTCTGGTGGTGTAGTAGCTTTTGCTTTGAGTTCGGTTACCCTCCCCGACGCTGAGTGTGTGCACGTGTGTTATTTTTGCCAGGGGTGAGAGAGTGTTCGGTATGTTTATTTGTATAGAGAAAGATAATTTCAGCATGGAGAAGGAAATATTTGCTCTTACCAACCTTTCTTTAAGTGTGGAGAAGTAGCATTTCAACAAGCAGAAGGTTAACATTTGTGTGGAGCAGTTCGTTTTCCATGGAGCAACTTATATCTTAATTCGTACGGAGAACTTGATTTATATGGAACAGCTACTTATTTCTACGCAGAAGCTGTGGCATACGGGCCACCGTAGGATCCAAATACGTGCATGTTGCTCACGTTTGGTTTCTTACCAAAAAAGCTTCGAATGACGTTTTCTTAAACGTGAGTTGAAACACCTGTTTCGAATGTAGACTGAAGTCATCACAGCATAAGTCCACAAATATTTGGGTAACTTTGCCTCTAATAACAGACATCTTGCCATATTAAATAAAGTTTGCCATGCTCTCTACTGTGCCGTTTTGATGCGGAGAATAAGGTGCACTTGTCTCATGTTTGATACAATGATTTCTTAACAAAGATTTGAATTATTAACAAACTCACCTCCGTTGTCGCTTCGTAGTCTCTTAACTTTGCCGTAAGGTGCAGTGTCAGCTAAAAACCTTTTCGTCGCCTCAAGTGTATCACTTTTCCTTCTCAAGAAATAGATCATTGTTATCCCTGTAAAATCGTCAAAAAATGATAAAGCATATTTAAAGCCGTCTATAGCAGTAGGCTTAATTGGCCCTGATAAATCACAATGAACAAATTCTAACCGATATTTTGCTCTCGTTGCTGTGTTGCTTGGCGAAGAAATACTATTTAACTAATATAATCGACTTTTCTTCTCAAGTTTGAATACGCTGCCTTCCTCGGTTTTGTATTCACTTACTTGTTTTCCTAATTTATTGTGCCTCCTCTGTCTATTTCTGCTGATACTGAAAGATACTTTCATTGTACGTCGGAATATAGAGCGCGTTATGCAAGATTACATCATGCAAGTTACCCTTAACATCAAATAACTTAACCTTAGCATTTCTCTTTCGTAATACAACATTAGCTCTTCTCCCATCAGCTAATTCAAAAAAGTATTGCTATCAAAATTTTATGAAAATTTGAAATTTGAACTGTCTTTATTTATGTCACTCGTTGCTCCTGTGTCCACTAGCAAGTCTATATCTCCTTGGCTTCTTCTTCTTCTGTCTTTGTACTCTTGTGTTGTGAATGCAAATGAATGTTCATCTTTTTTGTTTTCTTTAACTTTCTTTACTGTGTCCTTCTTCGTTGCCTTGCACTCATTTGTATGTGAGTCTTGCTTTTGCAATTGGCACACCATTTTCAGTTTTCATCCAACATTCAGAACTTTTATGACCTTTCTTGCCGCACGTAAAATATTTCCCTTAAAATCGTTGATTCTGTTTTGAAACATAACTCGATCGGTTTCATCTTTTTCACAACTTTTCGTTCTCGTCTTAAGCTCTCAACGTCGTTTTGAAAGTCATTTCTCTTTGATGACCACCGTTGCAAACGTTTTCTAATTTTTCGAAGCCCTTTCAGAACCATTGCAATCAGCAGCCCATCGCTTATAATTCCTCAGCAGATTTTAAATCAGTCGCTGCAGTCTCAGCACGTATCACAAAATCAGTGGTAGTTGCGTTTTCCCTTTCTTTAACGTCGTTAATTCTGTATACAGAGCGATGATTCTTGGCTTCCTTTTCCTTGGTAATGTTCATGAAGAACACCAAGCGCTTTTCTACCATCATCTCTTACCTCTCTTATAATAAGAGACAAACTCTGATTGTCCTGACATTGTACCTATTCAGCGAAGGCATTTGCATTTCTCGCCTCATCCAGTTCTTCCTCGTCTCGACTAGGAACGAACACATCGTACAGCTTTTGGTATTCTCATAAACGAAAGAAACTTCACCTTCCAGAGTTCATACTTGGCTTCATCTACATCGAAGACAATTCCTCTCCTGAGCCCATAACCTGTTAGGTTTTGTGATGTAGCCATCTACCTTCATTAGTATATATTGACTTACACCAACAAATAGAGATAATACAGATAACTGTTATGATCACATTTGATATTCAACGTCAATGTCTATTGTCTACGACCTATCGTACAATGGTTAAACTACTTCTAATTATAAAAGATATTACGTATGGATATATTTGCTTCTTTACTAAATATGGTTAATTTACCATCAACGGAAAGCTATTAGGAACTACAAAAATATTTGATTATTGCACATAAGTATCTCTTAAAATAATCATTTAGTTAGTTACATTTGACTAAATTATTTACTAATTACAGGAAGAATATGAGAGCATATCTTAACATTATTTGCAAACTAAATTGATTGAGCTGAGCTTCATTTAAAGGGGCATACCTCAGGAACTTCAACAACATTGTCGCTCTATGTCTCTCCATCATATCTTTCTGATGGTAAAGGGCCATCAAAATCAACACCATAGCCATTTACATTTTCCAACTCTGATATGCCTGCACTACAAGATGAGGTAAGTCCACTAACCCATAATTGCACAGGACTCATGTTTGGTTCCGTTCTTAATGGGTGATGATCATTTCCTTGTTGAAACAGTTGTAGATATAAGAATATGTGATGCAAAAAAATCGGTAAGAATATGTAATGCAAACAAATTAAATGAGTTTGTTTACTAATATCCAGAAGATCAATTTCTTCCATGTAACAGAAAACATGATAAAATACAAATGCACAACCATGAAATAGATCCCTCCAAAAACGTTTCAATCCTCTGATTGTGGCAGCTCTTTCCTCCTATAAAGCTCCCTCTTACAGGACATCTGGCTGGGTTAGAAACATGTTTGATGCAAGGTCTACATTTTCCACACCGTGACCTCTCCTTACACTATGAAGCCAACCGAATACTCCAACAGCACGCATGAAAAGTTTGAACACTGTACAGGCCTTGTCGTTTGTACAAGGACTAAGGAACATGATGCTCCAAGAGTATCCATCGACACAAACATGTATGACAAAGCCATATCGTATAAGTTTGTGATTTCCATCTAAATGCCA